GAAGTCAAGTACCTTGGACTAAAATCTTGTACTGAATATTACAAAACTACTCAAGTTTTTATCAGTCGCGCTTCTTGACTACTACGTTACATTTACATAGTTACCTAAAACTCTTATTTTTGTGGAATATCTTGCCAAAAAGTTGCAGAAAACTATTGCAATTATTTGCCTTTGAAACACTAAATCTTTGGATATAATGCAGTTGATAGATAATACCTATAACTATCTATTTGTCACTCTGTGCTTGTTTAACACTACCTAATATCTAAAATTGTATATATTGATGGATTTCCATGTTCAAGTTGGCTCAAGTCAGTGAGTGTATGATTTTGGTTAACTGTACTTGACTGTGATATTATTATTGTTGTTGTCACTTGTTAATCTTCTTGTTGTGAATTATTTTCCTGTGCTGGTGTTGTTCTCATTGTTTTATTCCTTGTTTTCCTGATTTTAAGGGGAGCAACCCACAAGGTTGCTTCTCTCTAAACTATATTTTAATGTAACAACCCCCTTCTCAGGCATAAGGCTAGCAACCCCACCCTGTAAACAAATTTGCTCCAGAAACTTCAGTACGATGAATCTCCTTGCACCAAAAGAAAAAGTCTGTGTGGGACATGGAAAGTCCGCAGCATGTACGAGATTGGCAAAGCTGCCCAGATAGCAAACGAAATGAAAAGATAAGGAATTCAAGTACTGGGGATATGTGAAAGCAGTCATAAGGAGCACCTCAAACAAACTACAGACCTTCATTAACAGTTGTCTTCGCTCAATAATCAAGATCAGATGACCAGGCAGAAAAGATCAGTAATAGAGATCTCTGGTAGTGAGCGAACCAACACAGCAGGAACCGATTGTGAAACAAATAGGCAGGAAGAAATGGAGATGGATTGGCTGGCCATACTCTGAGGAAACCATCAAGTGACATCACTGGACAAGCCATTGCTCCAGTGGAACCCGAAAGGGAAGCGGCGAGTTGGTCGTCAGTGCAAGGGTGACTTGGAGGCGGTCATGTGAATAGGAGATGAAAGCGTGTGGGCAGACTTGGAGCCAGGTGAAGACTCTGGCAGAGAAGCGAACGCAATGGAGACGCGTGGCTGAAGCCCTATGTCCCTCTAGGAATTAAGGGAAACAATAATAATACGGATATCATAAATACAGATTTGGTCACAGACAGAAATCAGACACCTCATTGAAATCCTCAGGGAGTATTGAACAGCTGTTTCGGCATAGTTTAAGACTCTTTAGCATTGAAATTAATTCAAATACTCACTAAATCTCATAATCTAAATATCGATGTCCAACGCATTGATGGCTAATGGATGAATATCCCATATATCTGCATTGAAAAGTCATGACCAGTGTACTTAAACATGTCAAGCAGAACTGGATGTTCACTGATGAGATCGGTATTGGTTGCGGATAGTTCTATATCATGCGAATTGACAGGACTGAATTTCATGGATCATTGCATTCTGATCCAAGTACCTGGATAGTTGACCAACTTGGAGACTTAACCAGAAGGCTGTGGGTACAGTCCTCGAACAAGGCATGGGTGAGTACTACTGATAAGAATCAAACTAGAATATAACAACTGTTCTGTCCCCCCCCCTAGTTTCCAGTGATCACTCTACCTTATGATTTTATATTCTGACGAAATGTTTGTTGAAAGTGATTTGAATCTAGCGGCCGACCCTTTATTGTAAAAAAGTTGTTGAGTGAGAACGGTTTCCCCGGAAAATAAGAACATAAATCACAAGTTAATACATGCAAAAGAAAAAGCAGTTTTCCGTAAAATGTCTTATTCTTACAACTTCAGTTCCTCAGGGATAACATCAATGAAATAGTGACACAACGCCTAAGGAATACGGTGGTAAAAACAGCATTCAGTGCTGCTAAAGTATGCTATGTCTTTAAAACCGCCACTATTTTGCCATTGGGAGTTAAAGATAAACTACCGAGTTTCGCCTCTTCTATGTATATCTACCAATTTGACTGCCCCCGTGCAGACAGAAAGGCCGTACATTAGCCGTACGATTAGACGTGTTTATTAACGGAATTCTGAACACCATTCTGAGTGGTTAATTAAGGGACAAACGAAATACATTCATAGTTCTATTCTATCTCATCTCGTGGCCACAGAACACAAGATTGATGTAAATAAAGAGAATTTCAAGGTCATTTACCACATATCAAATAATCTTATCTTTACCTTAAGATTTCATCTACTATATATAGAGGAGAGGCTGTCGGGATCTACATTAAGCCACGTGAATTATGTATCCAAAAGAAGCTGGTACAGACACTGCCCTCACCTTAGTCATCAAGATTTTTATCGTCCTGAATTTGTTGTGGAAATTTCCTAAATTTTATTTGATATTCTATCTCCTATTAAATTTTTATGCTTATTATAACTTTAGCGTCTTTCTTGAACTGTAATTTCATTGAACCTAACAAGTCGATATTATTTAAAAATCACGAATATTGTTAATAACGACAATTCTAGAATATATATGTATATATATACGGATACACGGATACTCACAAAACACTGAGATGGTACAGTTTGTGGGTATTAAAAGTCTGATATGAAAATAACAAGAAATTATACACACGAAACTGCAATACTTGTTAGTTAAATCAAAGCAGGCTATCTAAACACCTGAAGGTCATTCCATACACACTTCTGAATGATCTCAGTTCACAATGGGGAGTCCCTTCAACCCGCCCGACTTGTAGGTAGCTAATTGGGGTTCGCATTAGCAGCTTAACGGTAGAACACCTGTGCGCCATACCTTATGTGTTCTGGGGCTCGATTACTGGCTGACATACTCTCAAACCTCACCTAGTTACTAATAAGCCCGGAAAAGTAGGAAGAATGAATATGAGACTTGCAACGCCACCTCACTGAACACCTCAAGCGTCAAAGCCTCAAGCTTGAAAACTTAAGTCTGACTCACCAATGAAGGCGTGACAAAAAGGAGTAGAACTACAGGATCATACAATCAACTAAATTACTTAAACTAAAACAATCACCTTAAACAACCAACCTTGAATTAGAGTTATGTGGAATAATTGTGAAACAGTCATTAATATTGATTTTGTGACCTGACATCAATAAGTGCTTTGCATTGGATGATGCTGGATTTCTATTCAGATTAACTGCATTGGGATATTCGATGTGTTTTAATGACCATTTTGGAACATGTTCTTTTCGACGATATTAGGACATTTTATTGGTTCTACCTATATAAGTGTCACCACTATCTCAGATGAATTTGTAGTTACAGTTTGAAGTAGAGTTCACACAATTTCGTCCTTTAATCGTAGGTACAGGGATGGAAAATGTTCGGCATGTGAGAAAAAGAGATGCAGCATAGAATGTGCGTGTGATGGTTGACCGAAGTCTTTGAGCTGTCAAGTGCATAATCTAGTCCCCTTTGAATGGTAGGTTAATAAAGACAGCTTTCTTTGGTACAGAAGCTGTCTTTTCGAGATGTGATCTATCCTTAATGTGACAAGTGATGAGGTTCTCTGGATAACCATTAGCTAATAAAACTGAATGTATATGTCTAAGCTCATCCACCAATATGTCACTTACGCATATTTTTCGGGCCCTTGAGAACAAACATTTCACTAGGGAACGTTTATGCTGAAGATATTGTCCACTCCATGTCTGTTTGCGACAAATAGATCGCTGAATCGTTCCATCAACTCTCCTGGTCATTGTTATATCTAGGAAACCGAGTTTTTATTCGATTCGAGTTCGGAAGTCAATATTAATGACTGTTTCACAATTATTCCACATAACTCTAATTCAAGGTTGGTTGTTAAAGGTGATAGAAATCACTTTGAGGGATTAATCACATACAGCCTAAACTGTGTGTACAAAAAACAATAGACTTCAACCTTCGCCTACCATGGACTGACTACTTGACCTATTTAATTGTGATGATTGGTCATTAGTATGTACTTTTGTTTTTTATATAACTGAGTAATTGTCATGACCGTTATTGTATTGTTATGGTTAACTCTGTTAGTTGTAAAGCGGTTATAAATAAACTACGAAATGATGGCATCATCTCTCGGTTTGTTTTCTAAATGCCTTATTTAAATTGCGTAATTTGAAAATTATGTAGTTCGAAATATTCGGATCAAACAGTTGACTGATCTACTCCATAGCAGCTGGTATGCATCATGCCCGAAGGAAATACATACGGTTGGGTAATCATACGTGTCATACAGGCCGTCAAAACAATATGGAATCCGAATGCGAGACGATGAATTAGGTATTGGTGTGAGAATGACATAACGGAGATCACATTAGCTGAAGGGAGATGGAAGTTCAATGGTAATTATGAAGTCAACTATAAAAAATTTCAGAGAACTTAGTAAAATTCAGATGTACTTCCGAAGTCGTATATTCCACTCAGAACCGTAGGGAATTAGTTTATTATATACTGCAGGTATTAAATGGTTCAAGGCAATCGTCAGGAAGCCAAGCCAGTGCCTTAACCTAGGTTTTATGCTTGTTGACTGATACTGACCAAATCAAGCAAGAAAGGAACTGAAGGAACTCGTGTCCCCACTAAGATTTGAACCTGTGTCCCTCATTGCAACCTGCAGTCAGAAACATGTTACCATTGAGCTAGCTTTATTCGACTGCAAGACTGACCATCTCCTATAGGAGTGACTGTATTAAATGCATTCCAAAGTAATTTGCGTTACGCCTGCAGAAACGTGGCCAACAGGTAGATCGGCATCGTGATACACTCTGAAGTGTTGCTTTATATTAGATAGTTGAAGACAGCTGGCACCAAAATAAAGAACTAGACTTTTACTACCTCTCTACTTACTCTCTTAAATGCTATTTATAGTATCAATCAAATAGATCAATTGTCATCATGAAATAAATATTAAAATGAATTGTATAAAAAGAAGAGTTTTATATGAAAATTAAACAAAAAATTAAAACAATTGAGAAAATTTACCTAATCACATACACAATGTTGTAGAAGGGTTTCACGGAATCCAGAGATAAAATGCTGCTACCTGTTGACAGTGCATTTATATATATATATATATATATATATATATATATATATATACTTCTATATGTGTTTGTCACGAGTGCAATAAGCCTCTGCTCCATTCGAGAGATAGAGAGAGACTAATCTTATTAGTGTGATACACAGATCACTTGCATATGATCATCATAGATCATTATTTTTTCAAGGTATTTAGTAGTTACTCTGTTTGTGTAAAAATAGTAGTGTATACTACCTAACAGTACTTATATATATATTTGCACAACATACTGTCACACACTTACCAAGCTGTAAGTTGACCTATAAGTTCACCACTTTGAACACAAATAACATTTATACTTTTCAACAATACTACTGATTAATTAAACGGTCAAAAACAAACACAATAACACTATTGTGTACAACTGAAGATTGAAAAAAAATAGAGAGAGAATGTTTTTAGTTGTTTTTGGTGAAAACGTGAACGGATGTTGATTTTCATTTAAAAATAATAGTGATAATAATAATAATATTTTTTTACGAGTTGATCACGGATTGATATCAGTTAGAGAACCATTGAAAACCAGGAAGTACTGGAGTACTGGACAGCTGTTTTGATCAGCCCAGTTTTAGAATCATCGGTAGTACGCCGATAGAAAATTAATAATAATAATTTTCTTTAATATCAGTAACAGGCGTGAGGCCAGCAACCCCACCCTGTAAACAAACCTGCTACAGAAACTTCAGCGTGAACAGTCTCCTTGCGTCAAAAGAAAAAGTCTGTGTGGGGACATGGAATGTCCGCACCATGTACGAGACTAGCAAAGCTGCCCAGATCGCAAGCGAAATGAGGAGATACGGACTACAAGTATTGGGGATCTGCGAAAGCAGATGGAACGGATACGGACTCACCAAATTGTCAACAGGTGAGTCAGTGATTTACTCCGGTCACCCAGAAGACAACCACACACACACCGAGGGCGTGGCTATAATGATGTCACCAACGGCAACCAAGGCTCTGATACAATGGGAGGCGATCTCACCCAGGATAATAACCGCCAGATTCAACTCCAAAGGAAGGAAAGTGTCAATTATACAATGCTATGCACCGACCAACAACGCAGACCTCGAAAAGAAAGAAGAATTCTACGGACAACTGCAGGCAGCAATAGACAATACTCCAGCCGGTGACATCAAAATACTAATGGGAGACATGAACGCCAAACTGAGACCAGACAACACAGGAAGGGAACTCATCATGGGTAAAGAAGCTCTGGGAGAGATGAATGAAAATGGAGAACTCTTCGCCGACTTCTGCGCCTTCAATGAACTAGTGATTGGTGGCAGCGTATACCAACACAAGGATATTCACAAGGCTACATGGGTGTCACCAGATGGGCGAACCAAAAACCAAATTGACTTCATCACAATCTCGAGGAAGTGGCGGCGCAGCCTACTGGACACAAAAGCAAGAAGAGGAGCAGACGTTGGCTCAGACCACTACCTCGTACAAGGAACAATCCAACTCAAATTAAAGGCTTTCAGAGAAACAGGAGCTGCAGATAGACCACAAGCCAAGTTCAACACTCAAAAACTAAAGGACCAGGATACAAAGGATATCTTTACTGCAAGTATAAAGGACAAAGCCGAGACACAAATCAACACTGGTGAAGAGGTCAGCGTCGAAAAACACTGGAACAACCTGAAAACAGTATGGAGCGAAACCTGCATGGAAGTTCTAGGCAGAAAGAAGAGACAGGACAAACCGTGGCTCACTACGGACACTTGGAGGCTAATAGAGGAGAGAAGAATGGTGAAACAAAAAATTCTGCAGTGCACCGACGAGCAACAGAAACAGGAGTTGAATGTAAACTACAATACACTGAACAAAGGAGCAAAGAAGAGTGCCAGAGAAGACAAAAGAAAGTATTATGAAGCCATGGCCAATGAAGCAGAACAAGCTGCAGGCAAAGGAGACCTCGCAACACTTCACCAAACAACTAGGTACCTTTCAGGCAAAAATTCGTCACAAATTAAGCCAGTGAAGGATGAAAATGGAAAGCCAATCACCAAAGAAGTGGAGCAAAGGAAACACTGGGCTGAACACTTCAAAAGACTACTAAACCGACCGCCACCTACAACGCGCCCAACAATACCAACAACGGAAGCAGAATTACCAGTGAACATCAACCTCCCGACGAAATCAGAAGTCCTGAAGGCAATCAAGATGCTGAAAGCTGGGAAAGCAGCAGGACCAGATGGAATCCCAGCAGAAGCATTGAAAGTCGACCCAGAGACAACAGCAGACCTGATGACGCCACTACTGGAGAAGGTGTGGAAAGAAGGCAAAGTACCCGAGGATTGGAAGAAAGGATACCTATTCAAACTACCAAAGAAAGGAGACTTAAGTCAATGCAAGAACTGGCGCGGAATTATGCTCCTTTCCATCCCAAGCAAAATACTAAGCCGCATCATCCTGGAAAGGATCAAACAAGCCTTGGATGAAAAACTTCGACCAGAACAAGCTGGATTCAGGAGTAACAAGTCATGTATTGATCAAATCGCCACACTACGGATCATCATTGAACAAAGTTTGGAATGGCAGTCACCTCTCTATCTCAACTTCATCGACTTTGAAAAGGCCTTCGACAGCGTCGATCGAGAGGTGATTTGGCAACTACTTCGCTACTACGGGGTGCCGCCGACAATTATACATCTCATCCAACAGTTGTATGACAACGCTGCATGCCAAGTAATCCACAACGGGAAGCTCACGGAATCCTTCGAAGTGAAGACAGGAGTAAGACAGGGTTGCCTACTATCGCCAATGATTTTCCTGATTGCAGTAGACTGGATAATGCGACAAACAGCGGGCAATGAGGAAACAGGCATAAAATGGACTCACACAAAGAACTTGGAGGATCTGGACTTCGCCGATGATATATGCCTGATTTCCCACAAACCCGAAGATATGCAAGTGAAAAGTAACAAGTTGGCAGAAGAAGCATCAAAGATAGGACTCCAGGTGAACATAGAAAAAACAGAGGTGATGAAGATCCCTGGCCAACACCAACAACAACAACAGACAGCAATCAGCATAAATGGAAAAAACCTGAAAGAAACTACCTCCTTTACCTACTTGGGAAGCATTGTTTCAACTACAGGCGGAACTGACGAGGATATCAAAGCAAGGATCGGGAAAGCAAGGCAAGCTTTCATTACTCTGAAGTCTGTGTGGAGGACAACATCATTCAGCGTCAAAAATAAGATCGGGATTTTCAACTCCAATGTGAAGTCAGTACTACTATACGGATCAGAGACTTGGCGTGTCACAAAGAGCACCTCAAACAAGCTACAGACCTTCATTAACAGATGTCTTCGCTCAATACTCAAGATCAAATGGCTGGAGAGGATCAGCAACAAAGATCTCTGGGAGCGAACCAACCAGGAACCCATTGTGAAACAAATAGGCAGGAAAAAATGGAGATGGATTGGCCACACTCTGAGGAAACCAGCAAGTGACATCACTAGACAAGCCCTCGAGTGGAACCCGAAAGGGAAGCGGCGAGTTGGTCGTCCAAGGGTGACCTGGAGGAGATCATGTGAAGAGGAGATGAAAGCATGTGGGCAGACCTGGAGCCAGGTGAAAACTCTAGCAGAGAATCGAACGCAATGGAGACGCATGGCTGAAGCCCTATGTTCCTCTAGGAACTAAAGGAAATAATAATAATAATATCAGTAAAAAGTTTGAGCATTGTGGATTAGATAAAATAAAGTATAATTATATTTCAATAGTTTTGTTATAGGTAATATTTCGAGCAAAATTTCTACTGCCCGTGTTCACTGTTGTAATTGTTTTCATTCCAGAATCAGTACTAGTGGTACAGTGTGGAATTTTCAGCACACATCTACAATATTTGCATCTAATTTTATCAAACATTTACAAGGAGTATTTCATCAAGTAAATATAAAGACAACAAAAAAGAAAACACAAAAATAATATAAAAAATGCGAAAAATACCAAGAAGTAGAAAGGAAAATAAACATCATATACTAATATCTCAGTATTGGGTAGTGGAAGCTATGATATAATTATGCATGGTGACAGTAAAGCTATAGTCATACAAGAAGTTATGAAATGATATTTAAGAATGTTTATCGCCAAGATGGTCAGTTAATTTGGTTGAAACAACTCTAAACACTCATAAAATAACATTTCAGGGTTGTTCTTTTTTTATCAGGTCTAATGCGGTGTTTGTAGTGGTAGTGTGAGTAATCCTGAATAATACAAAATTTTAAGGGTGACAATGGCGTTCACAACCAATGATTGTCAGTTTAATATTGCCAAACAAAAAAGACAACAACAACAACCATAAAACTAATAATTACACGATGGTTAATGACAGGACAATTTTGTACTACTCATAGTGTTAATATAGTCGGAACCAGTAGATACACAAAAGAAGGAATAGAGTAAAGTACAAAAAAGGAAGCCAATGTTAATAATTTAGGTAGCTAAGTATGTTTAAGAAAGAGTTCACTGTAGAATACAAAATAAGAGAGAAATAAAAGAGCCTGAAATTTTTTTATTAACAACAAAGCAATTTATAGGTTTCGCGCTTGCTAGTGACTGGTTACAGGACGTAGTTTCCTGGAAATCTAGTGAGAAGTCGTGGTCACCACTGACGTCCATCCAGACGTGAGGATGGATATCCCACCGACTACATTGGTTGGGGTCAAGCTAATTCACCAATTGATAGAAGTTTGAATCCATGGGCTGGCCATAGAATTGGGTCTCAGTGGCTGAATGGTTTACCAGGTAGCTTGCCTTGTAATCGGAAGGTCCTAGGTTCGAACCCTGGTGGTGGGTGCCTACTGCGGATGATTCCCAAAGTAGGCTGATGAAACAACTGTCCAGTACTTCTAGCTGGTTTTCAATGGTTCTCTAACTAATATCAATCTGTGGGCAAACTCGTGAAAACCAAACTGACCCTTGCAAACTAACTATAGATAATAATATTGATAAGTGAAATTTTTATTGAAAGTTTAAGATACTGAGAACTAAGTGGCAACGTTATAGTCCAAAATGTTTTTAAAATCCGTCTATAAACTGTCTTATTCATACCAATCAGTATTGTTAGTATTATTATTCCCTTGGGTTCCGAATGGAACATTGGGGGGAGGGCGGGCCCAGCAGCACATTCGCATTTCATCACCGCATTCTACGAAGTCCT